GGACGGGCTCCCTAACGAGTTCTGGCAAGCCAACTGGCACCAAGTAGGGGAAACATTCACTGAATTTTTCAAAGAAGCCTTCGCTAAGGCTCTATAGGAGAGGACTTTCGTACAGGCGTGGTCACTCTGCTATACAAGAAAGGCGATCGCGCAAACATAAGAAACTACAGACCCATAACTCTCTTACCAGTAATATACAAAATATTAGCTAAAACCCTAGCTAATAGAATAAGGAATATCACAGACAAATGTTTTCACATAAACCAAACAGGCTTCATTCGGGGAAGATACATTCTGGACAACGTAGTAACCCTAAACGAAGCTACCAAATTCATAAGGGATAAAAAAATACAAGCTGCCATACTATTCTTCGACTTCGAAAAAGCTTATGATCAGGTAAACTGGGATTTCCTCCAACAGCGCATGGAAAAAATGGGAGTAGGACCAAACCACTCGCAGCACCAATCTTCTTGTTTGTGATGGAAGCAATAGCTGCCTTCCTTCGCAAGGATCCTTCAATAGAAAGGCTAGTCATACAACAAGACGGAAGGTCATTTCCCATACCCACAACTATACTTTTCGCGGATGACCTAATCGTGCTGATTAGAGCTTCTGACTCTTCATTCCAAGCCCTCACAAAAGCCATGCAAGCCTTCCAACTAGAAGCGAAAATGAAAATTAACTGGAATAAAACAGTTGGATGGTGGTTAGCCTCCTCTCATCCTCCCCAACAAACCCAAATCACCCAAGGCCTGCAATGGCTGGCCACTCAACAGCCGATGCATTTTCTCGGCATCCAAATTTCAACCGACGGAACCAGTAATATATCAGGAACTAGTCTTCTTCTTAAAATGACAAACAGACTAGCTGGATGGCAAGCAACGAATGTATCACTGATGGGTAGAGTGCTAGTACTTAATACTGCGATCCTATCTACGGGATGGCATGTAGCATCTCTCTGGAACCCACCAACAAGCTTTTTTACAACCCTCAAAAGAAAACTAGGATCTTACCTTTGGACCGGGAAAGTTGAAAAAGAAAAGTACATCTCCAAAGTGGCCTGGAAGTACATCACCAGACCCAAACTTCAAGGAGGGTTAGGTCTTCTGAACTCCGCCGTACAATTTCAAGCATTACAACACAAGTGGATAATAAAACTCCTTTTCAGCAGGGAACTACCATGGCATGAAATGACTCTCCATCAGATCCGTAACCTAGTACCTTTCAGAGTCGACACCTCCATAGAAGGATACCATTGGATCCTCAATCCCTCATGGAACCCAATAAGGATGGGAAGGGGGGGAATATCGAGGGATAAAGACCCACTGATTGAGCACTGGGCCATATTAATAAAGCACTGGAGAAACTGCTTCCCACAAAAGACAAGAACCCCAAGAATACAAGAGGAAGTCCTGAGGCAGCCGCTATTCGGGAATCCCCTGTTGACAGACGATAACGGCAAAATATGGTCCTTAAACACGAAAGGCAGACAGTGGAGAAAATGGATGAGCAGGGGGCTGTGGAATATAGAACACATATGGATCACGGATGAAAACAGATGGGCCACCGAGCAAGATCTCATATCCAAACTCAAAGGGGTTCACAATCTAAAAGAACATCTAGACAAACTCCTAGAAAGTGTCCCGCTCAAATGGGCGCTCCTTCTGAAAAGCAAACCCAAGTGGTCAGTGGGGGATTGGGCCACAAAAAAGGAGACAGACCGCCCGTCCGTCGCCTACAAACTGTTCCAGGTGCCAGACACGGAAGAAGGGAAGGCCGAGTTCGCTGTTTACGAGCTGGAGGAAGTGCACAAATCGTGGGTAAACCCAGGTAGAACAGTAGAAGCAAGGTCAACACAAAAACTCAACACTCTCAAAAGAGTACGCGCATGCACACCCAAGACTGGTCATAAACAGAGCCCATCCATCCAACCAGATCCAAACAGAGTTAGGGTATTCAGGCCAAAGTTGGACATTAAGGACCTAGAGGTGGACCCAGTAACTCGGGGCGAGCCAAAAAGCTTATTCCAATATACGAGTATGAAGTCAAAATAGGTTACAAACTAGGGAACCGTACAAAGGACCCTCAGTCAGTTATTTCGGAAAGATGGAAAAAAAAAACTCAGCGAAAACACAGGATGGGTTAATAAAATCCCATGGAGCCAGTACACAAACATTAGACCGGCAAGATTCAGAAGTCTGCCGTGGCTGGTACTCTACTGGGCACTGCCAGTCAACCAATGGCTGGCCAAAAGGAGGAAACATGAAGGCTCCCAACAACAAAGTTCACTGTGCATGGTATGCGACAACATCGTCGAGGAATCTTTGGCCCACTGTTTAATAACCTGCCGCCAAGCACAAGAGATATGGAACAGAACTAGAAATCTCTGGGGTAAACTAATGGGACATGATCTCCCCAGCAGCCCGCTGTACCTCCTAGCGGTTAGACTAGAAAACGAGGACGTAGATGAAGAAACAACTATTGTGGCCGACTTATGGAGGAGAGCAGCGCTTTGGGTAATTTGGAAGGCAAGATGTGAGGGTACCGTAGAAGGTCAACTACCAAACATAGAGGAGAGATGGATAGAAACAAAATTCATAATACAAACGGAAATAAGAGCACCCCGGTCCAGAGAGCAAAAGGAACACCAGAGGACAATACATCCAAATAAAAGGGAGTCGAGTCGGAAAAGATTCGAAAAAACGTGGCTTTTAGGAAACAAAATTGCAAAATTAGAAGGGGGGAGCTTACGCTTCGGGCATTGGGACTAGAGGTAAGAGAGGCCCGCCCAATGCGCACTCACGCTTCGAAAAAAAAAAAAAAAAAAAAAAAAAAAAAAAAAGATCAGAAGTTTGCAACGGTTAAATAGTCAATGCAGCCTTACCGGCGAACCATTGACTGCACATCAAACGGAAAGACGCAGATCCCAACAGTTCGAAAACATGCATAGTCTGCACCGAGGGCGCGGTAGAGAATATAGCTCACTGCCTAGTGCACTGTAAAGAGGCGACAGAATAGTGGGCGTGAGCCTCGTCACTCTGTGACTCACTCTTCTCAACCTCCTTTCCCGAGCAACCCATCCAACTTATTTAGGCGCGGAAGGCAGAAAGGATCTGTTTTGAACTTATCAGGAAGTGACCCTATGGGTCACATGGAAGGAGAGATGTAGCAGAACAATTGAAGGACTGCCTAACCCATGGGAGAAGGTGTGGGTAGAATCCCGAACGCAGATACAATGTGACGCATGTGTAGTCGCACGTGAGGAGATGGTGAGAGAGAGAGAGAGAGAGAGAGAGAGAGAGA